GAAAGAGCTTCAACATTTTTACCTGGCAAACAGGGACTCTCCTAATAGAAATTGAACATAATCAGAGGACAGGAAAACAGGCCTTACTATGAGAGGCTGAGAGCCATGGGACTCTTCAGTCTGGAAAAAGGCAGGCTCAGGTGACCTGATGGCTGCCTATAAGTACATAAGGGGTGTACATCAGGATCTGGGGGAACGCCTGTTCACCAGAGCGCCCCAAGGGATGACAAGGTCAAACGGTCACAAACTCCTCCAAGACTGTTTCAGGTTGGACATAAGGAAGAACTTCTTTACTGTCCAAGCCCCCAAGGCCTGGAACAGGCTCCCCCCTGAGGTGGTGCAAGCACCTACTCTGGACTCCTTTAAGAGACATTTGGACGTTTATCTTGCTGGGATCCTTTGACCCCAGCTGACTTCCTAACCCCTGGGGCAGGGGGCTGGACTCAGTGATCTTCCAAGGTCCCTTCCAGCCCTAATGAAATCTATGAAACTTAGGTATTTGTTTCTCAGACTTCATGGTTATTGCCAGACCCTCCACAAAACAATGGATAAGCTTCGGAAAAACACAAGGCATTCATTCCAACCAGGGTCTTTGGCTGTATGATGAGTCTGGGGAGTGAAAGAATTGCAGGGACCCATTATGGCATACAATGTACATCCCATCATAGGAAGGAACTTTTCAGGTAGATAATATGGTTCATCCATGTCCTGGATTAATGAGGCAAGAGTGGTTAATCATGTTCCCAATCCATCCTCCTTCCAGTCATTCACAGCAGAAGCAAGGAGTCATATGTTCTGAACCCTTCTCATGCCAACTCTTTCTGGAGAAAGAAGAAAGAGGCAAAGAAGGTAGAGAAAAACCCTGCATTGAAACTGAGACCCCTGATGGTATCAAGCAAACAGAATTAAGGAATCAAGCAAGCAGAATTAAGGAAGACCCCCTTTGACCGATGTAACAGCTCTTCATTTAGCAGAAGCTCCTCTGGTAGGTTAGGAAACTCAAGGAAACAGCAGTGCATGTGTTCTGTACCAGTGTGTCAGTCTGCCAACACTGGCAAGTCAATTCCTTTTGTATCCATGGAGCCCATCTCTTTCACTGCTAATCTTTCCACCACCCCAAAATCCATAGTTTCATAGTAGCTAGGGTCAGGAGGGACCTGAACAGATCATCTAGCCTGCCCCCCTGCCACAGGCAGGAATGAATGCTGGGTTCACAAGACCCCAGACAGGAGATCGTCCAACCTCCTCTTGAATTTGCCCAAGGTAGGGGCGAGGACCACCTCCCTGGGAAGTTGGTTTCAGATTTTGGCCACCCTAACTGTAACATATTGCCTTCTGATCTCCAACCTAAACCTATTCTCCATCAGCTTATGACCATTGTTCCTCGTCACCCCAGGTGGTGCTGGGGAGAAAAGGGCTCTGCCTATTTGCTGTTGATCCCCCCTGATGAGCTTGTAGGCAGCCACCAGGTCCCCCCTCAGCCTCTTCTTGCTGAGGCTGAACAGGTTCAGGTCCTTCAGTCTCTCCTCGTAGAGCCTGTCCTGCTGCCCTCTCACCAAGCGGGTGGCTCTCCTCTGAACCCTCTCCAGCTGGCCACATCCCTTTTGAAGTGCGGCGCTCAGTACTGGACGCAGTACTCCAACTGTGGCCTGACCAAAGTTGCATAGAGGGAGAGTATCACTTCTCTGGACCGGCTTGAGATCCATAAGTCAGTCCCAGCACGTACATACCTCTGTGAGGTATCGTGTAGCATATTTGGGATGCATAAAAGACCTGTGTGCAAGGACCAGAAGTGCCCATGGGTGCTGCCTCCTCTTAGATTTGAGCCAGGTAGCAGCCCTGGTACCAGTTCTCAGTTCTTTGCTGTTAGGTACAGCCCCCAGGAGAAGCTGACTTGGATAAGCGGTAGGCTCTTCCTTCCATAACTAAACTGGCATTTATACCTCCATGCCCAGGCCCGTGTATTAGGACATGTTGTTTGGTCTGTGAGAGGGGAAAAAGTAAATAAAATTCTAAAAGAAAACTGTTTTTACATTACATTAAAGGAAAATTTAATGGAACAATTTTCTTAGGGTAGTGGAAACAGTTCTGACCTTTCTTTCCCTGTGTGACACAGATTAACCACCACAGTTTCATCATAACTGAAGCCAGTATCAAATCAGTGGTTTGAGCTAACTATAAGGCTGAGTTTCTATGTAATTATTGCCATATGCAATAGGACTCGTGTCCTGCAAATACTTATTTGGTGACACTGTGTCAGCTGAGAGTTATTGCTTCTAACATAGGCAGGACTATCTCTTAATGATATTTTTCCCCTGGCAACTACTTTATGTAGGAAAAAATGTGGTTCTGGATATGAGTGAGATGTTCACAAAGAAGGAACTGAAAAACTGCTGTTTTTGTACATCTGTGGTTTTGCCTCACCTTGTTGAGGTGTCCAATATTGCCAGTGACCACATGTCTAAAACTCATGAGTCATGCCCCAAAGATCAAAAGGTTTTAAAAGAACCTGAATGTTGTGGCACTGGGAGCCTTTCAAATGTGCATGGGGCTTGGTTTTAAGCTTTTCTGTGTTTGAACTATATGAAATAAAATCTTTTTTTTTAAAGGAAAATTGGGAATGTGCACCCCCCCCCCCAATGATTGGCAGAGCTGCAGCTTTCAGAATGACGCAGAATAACTTTGCTTGTGATAATTGCAAGAATTGGCAAAACTGCAGTAGCCCCACTGCTGCAGTCTTACTGGCAATACAAAGCAGTTGTTCCTTTCCCAATGGTTTCGTTGTTACTCATTCTTTCCAATATGTGGTTTGACACTGTTGTCATTCTTCCGCTCCAATAAGCTTTTGTCTCTCCTGCTCTCATGAAAATACCCAGCCCTTCAGTGAAGTACTTCTATATTGTCCCTTTCTCTCTCTCATACTCGTGGAAAGTGTTTCCCCACTCACACTTGCCCTATGTTAAGATCCTCCACCTGGATATGTGTTGTACTTCCTGGGTGGAAAGACAGCAACAATACAAAAAAATTCTCCTTTTCTGCTTTGCTAACTACAGCAAAGCAGATTTTTAAAAACATTTGGTATTTTGAAGGAAGGAAAAACACTGGAATCCTCGAAAGGAAAAAAGAGTCATGGAAAAATAAAGTGAACGTAATTTGACCTATAATTAACGGTCTTTAAAAAAAAAACAAACAAACAAGTTTGAGAGGAAAATGTATGCTTTTGAATAAAGTACCTTTATAGAACGGTGTGCTAGTGGGTACATTGTGTGATACCTGACATCTGGGTTCTATTCCTGGCATTGCTAATGACTTTTTGGGTGACACTGGACAAATACCTTAAACCTTCTCTGCCTCAGTTGTTCCACCTGTAAAAATGGGCTAGAATGCTGTGGGTTTAATGTTCCTTTGTTTTGTAAGTGGAATAAGATGGAACTTCTTTGAATAGGAGTTGCTCTAACACTGCAGTTATGGTAATGTACTGAATAGTTTTACAGAGTTTATTGTACTAATAAGATTTCATATCTTTTTAGACATTAAATATTTAAAACCTTGTGAACCCATTTAATATATACCATAACTCTGTTCCTTGGGGGTATTCATTTGTTGTCAGTATAGTGCATCCTATTATATTACTGTATTTACTTGAATAGAATACACTTTTTTCCCCCAGTCAGCATGGAGGGGTGGAAAAGATCCTCATCTTACATTCACATACAAACCTCATTAAATACATTACTTATCATTAAACTGCTGCCAAAAGCAGCATGTGCTCAGTAATGGAAGCCAACTATGAAGCTGATTAAATGCAGCTAACACTGAGCACAAATACATGGTCCATATTGGGCAAACATTGTGATGAGACCCTACTTTTTTTTTTGGAAAAAATATATTTATATATATATATATAGAGAGAGAGAGAGAGAGAGAGAGTGTTATATATATACAGCAGCTAGCATAAGCTTTTCTTCATACACCATAAACCACATTTAAAGCCTGCAAATCCATTACAAGTAACGCACCCACGCTCCTACACACTCGTCCAGCATCCTTTCTCTAACTCAATCACAGTCTTTTAGTCCTAGCCCCGATTTTGGGGTTTACATTGTCAATTCATTCCCTGTCATTGTCACTTTTGCTTCCGCTGCTTCTGATACTGCTGCTGTCATAGTTGCTGTGGTAAATCATGGACTTTTGGCTTTGGCCTAATAGAATGCATAGTTTGTATTATATATAAGTGGATGCAAAAGTGCTGCTTAAAAGTGTTTTTATGGAATAGTTGTGCTAAAACTTGCACCAGTTTAAAAAAAGGTAACATACATCAGTTCTTGATTAACTAAATCTAAGGGTACCCCTAGTAATTTGCCTATATGCAAATTACTATAGGAAAAGTCAGTGTTTTGAAATTTGCCCCTCACTTCTATGTGCTCAGGGAGAGAAGGGTCTGATAGTAAGAGTGAGGAGGAGCTTCAGGGGGAAGAAGTTGTGAGGGGCAGAGGGTAAGAGGGCCACCTGACCCCCTCAGATATATTTTCCCTGCTGTAGCAGTGAGAGGGGGGCAGATTTTATAGATCCAATAATTAGATTTCATACCTGGAATATTCTAACAAATTTATACATTTTCCGAATATCAAATCTACTTATTGGGGCGTTGTCTTATGTTTGAGTAAATACGGTACGTAAGACCAGGAGTTCCTTCAGAAGAAGAGCTGGATAAGTTGAGTCAAAGAAGTTTTAAGTGTGTATGTTGAGATGCCATTATAGTTTGGCTATTGGCAACATTGGTGCACTTTTTTACACATTGCTTTTTTTTTTTAAAGTGTTAATGCTTGTGGAGGTTGACAGTCCTGGAGACAAGACTGCACAATTCACACAGTAAGAACTGCAGGGATAGCAGCAGTGAAGTTTTCCCTTTGCTACCTGGAGTGACTCACAGCTAATCTAGAGCTGAGGAGGTATTTGCATCTCTGTGCGCTATTGTGGTGGTAATTTTGCAAGGTATGTGTGTGTTCACTAGTAGAAACTGAAACTAAGACCAGTGACTCACTTCTTTCAGATAAATAGCTATTGTATAGATATAACCTACCAATACAACCACTGCTTTGTACTGGCATCTTAGAGATGACAAACTCCATGGAAGTCCCTTCTGAACTTTTCGGGACCCACACATTGATACAACTGAAGAATTGTAGAACACCTTTAAATTCCTGCTTTGTGTTTAGAGTTGAACCCTTCAGTTCCTCTCATCCAATTTTGTAAAGCTGTACGCAGCAAGTCTTCTAGGTTTTCAGGGACAAATAATAGAAATTTAGAATATTTTCTGTAATTTTCTTCTGTAGTATAAATCAGCAAATTATTCCATTTTCCTCTCTACTGGTGCTACATGCATAGTACCAAAGCTGCCTCTGAATCAAGATGGAAATGTAGCTGAGAAGTAAAAATAAGATTTGGACTTTAATATCAAATGTCTTCATTATACATGAAGAAATGCATGTGCAATTGCAATAATGATGTCCATGTGTAAATAGCAGAGTAGATTTTTTGTATTCCTAGTAATACTACTGTTAAATAAGGCAGAGAGATCCTACAGACATGGCAGTACTTTTTTATCCATCGCAACATAGCACCAATCTTCATTTTGGGGAGGGAAGATCCAGTTTAAATAATCCCATTTATTTAAATAAAAATAAACCATTTCCTAGCACAATACTCATCTTAATCCCAACTACTTGTAGATAGCTCTCTACTAGGAAATTCACATTTTAGGGTGTTCAGCGTTATAAGCTTTAGTGATTTAAAGTCAAAACATTCTGAACTTTGCTTGACTATCATTTCCTCTCCATAAGGTAACCAAGGTGGGTTCAGGTACATATACATTTGTCAGTATTAACTGTTGATATTTGCTAACTGTAGACCAATAGGAGCCAGTCTTTTTGGCAAGCATGCCATAAATTAGCCCTTCACCCTTCCTGTGTGCTACTCTGATACCTTTCATTTACCTAATATGCTGCTCAGCTTTCTGCTCCCTGTTCCATGCTTCCTGACTACTGTGCTTCTTCCCTGATCTGATGCTCTGCTTTAAGCTCCATGCCCATCTGCTGCTGTGCTGCCTATCCTCTCCTCCATCTGCCCTGTGCCCACACAGAGGCTGCCTGTGCCACTTGTGGCACATGTGTTGCAGGTTGGCTGCCCTTGTTATAGATAACAACTTGACTGATTCATTAGAGCCAGTAAAGCTACTGCATAAGGAGCAAGAAGATATAAGGGAAATGCATGCAAAATATTGAAAAGAGGAAAAATCAGAGCTTAACATTGGTTGAGTTGTAGCAGAAGTAATGAGGTGTGAAATGTGCTATTCCCAACCAATACGCCATGCTGCTTTAATTTACAGAATATATAATTATATAACATTAAAATTCTAGTACATCAGTCTTTGACAAAAAATTGAAATGAAAACAGACAAATGCATGAATTTATGTATAAGACAATTGTTGCAATAGGAATGGACAAGAACATGAACTCTAAATGTTCTCATCATTTTAAAACTGTGCCCTTAGGATCCTTTATTCTTTGCTCTGACATACATTCATTTACCGTTGCAAGCCAATTTACTGAAGTCTGAAAACACATCCACCTACAGAAGTCCCCTCCCCAGAATATATTCTAGCTCATCTAAATCAGGATATTAGTGTAAGCCCTGAAGTTGCTTCCACACAACCTAAAAGACTCTTATGGATACTTGGGGAGATTATGAAGATGCATACAAGGTTAATTATTCTCAGTCAGATCATTGGTTGGTCCATCTCAACTGGTTTTCTGCCTCTAACAGTGACTCCATGAATCCAGTTAACCCAGGGGTGGGCAATTGCTTGGGCCTTTGGGCCACATAGGGAGTTTTGGTGAGCTTTCATGGGCTGAGTCATACCCTCCCCCCACCTCCCCCCCATGCTGGCAACAGCTCACCAAAATTCCCTAAATGACACCATCTTGTCTGCCTAGCTGTGCACCCTTCTTGTGTGGGTCCTGACAGCACAGGGCCAGAGCCCAGGGCAGAGATTTGATCTGCGCCCTGCATGTCCCTGCCCACAGAACCAGTGCCTGTCGCAGGGGTGTGTGGGCAGCAGATCATGGCTGTGCTCCATGGTTGGCCAGGATGGGGTCGCAGGTGGGTGGAGAGCGGCATCTGGGAGCAGCACAGGCAGATGGGGCCAGGGCTGGGATTCCTAGCTAAGTGGCGGCGTCCCACAGAATCCAAACAGTAAGTAGCGTCTTCATGGCTGATGGGACCAGGCATCAGGAGCTGGAGGGCCCCAGAGCAAGTTGAATGCAATGTGGTCCCGCCAGCTCTGCAGTCCCAGTGGGGCTCAGCTCTTTGTGTGGATACCCCAACTCCTGGTACTGTACAGAGCTGAGCATTAGCACAGCCTGAATAGTGCCAGGAGAGAGACCTAAGCGGGCAACATTTGTAGCCCCAGGCATGGCAGGAAGGAGCCTGGCATGGCAACAAGCGGTTGAGTGGATGCAAGAGCTTGGCAGTGGGTTGAGGCTTGGGAGGCAGTGGGGCTGCCACCAAACTTGGGGGCAGCAGAGGGCCTGAACCGTGGGGAGGGCAGGGCTGCATGGGGCACATAGGGTGGCAAGTGTCAGGCAGAAACTGCACAGTGGGGGCCACACTTGAGATGCTGTACAGTAGGAGCAATTGGGAGCAGCTGCTCCATGAATGCAGCCGGTCACTGCTGGACTTCTGTCCTGAGGCACCTAGTACCGAGTCCCACCCTACAGCCCATGTCGGGCACTGATGCTGCCTCCGATCTCTGGGGCAGGCAGGCAGAAGTGGCTGCTTTGGTCTGGGGCTCTGGCTCGGAAGCCAGCAGCTGTCTCTGCTCTCTTGGCAGGGGTGTCGAGCACGGTCGGGCATCCCAGCCTGGGCTGCCTTCTGTTCCTGGGCAGGACAGGACCAAAGGCCTGACCACGGGCCAAACGAATTCCCTCAGTGAGTTAGATCCAGCTCGCAGGCTATATTTTGCCCACCTTTGAATTAATCAGACGAGCAATGCTTTAGTGACCATAATTAAACACACCACATCCACCAGTCCAGGCACTTTTGTTTTAGCCACAAATACCTTAAAATGGCAAATGTCTTTTTGTTGCATTTGTAAGAGTTGACAAATGTTGAGTTTTAATGGTGCCCATGATATGACAAGGGGAGAAAAAGAAAGGGGAGAGGAGAGACTTTCTTTCTAATCTCTGCAGGTGAATTTATCCTGTGACGTACTGTAAGTAGTTTATATTCAAAATTTTAATCTTAAATCTGGTAGAAAATATCAACCAGAATCTGCAGTTTTAAATTTTAAAACAGAAACATGTTGAGGAGCTTTATTTCTCAGGAAGCTTTTAAGGGGCTGTTCACTTGCTCTCCAGATGAGGAACTTAAATATAGCCCAAACCAGGAACGGCCAAAAATTTGATATTAAATAGTGTTTTGGTGACAAGTGTTATAAATTAGTATTTTCACTTTTCCCAGTATTAGAGAAGTTCACATATTGAAATGTGATCAGTGTGACAACTGACATTCAGCAGAAATCCTAAGAACTCAATAGCCCCAAAATGCAATTACTGAACTTGTTTCCAGAGAGGAGATTTCCAGAACACGTTTGGTTCACATTGAAGTGTGTGTTGTTTTTTGCCATATTTTTTCAGCTGAATGGTAAATGTAAGTCCCCAGTTCTTGCAGACTTCATAAGAACTAAATTAAAAGGCAAATTAAAGATCAGCTTTCTTTCCTTGCAGTTCTTGGAATAATGTAAACTGAGCCCATAAAGAACTGAGCCCACTGCTTATCACGTTGGTACTCCTCGAGGAGAAGGGTATGGACAGAATATATTTCTAGTTAGAACAAAAGAAAAACCATGGAGTTCCTGCGTCGAGAAGAAGACAAACCTGTTTAGTTTCCTGAACATTTAGGAAGTTGTGCTGAAAGTATATTCATTTTGGTAGTGTCTTTGGTGGGGTGGGAATAAATAAACTGAATTTTAATGACCGTTACAGGAAAAAAATAATCACAAATGCTAATATATTAGCAGCAATTAACAAGATTAATAGTATGAAAACAGAAGAGAAGTCCCTTTCCCCCAGTACAAAAAATAGATAAGATATGGTTTACTATATGGTATTTTTTTTGATGTAACAGAGCTGATAGGGCTGTTCAAGTATGAAGTTTAATAAACACAATCCCTGGTCTTAGAACAGACGCAGGATCAGTACTTGCGAAACACAGCTGTTAACGAAGGGATTTATTCATTTCTGCCAGAAATGTTATGCATCCATTAACACTTCAGAAGCAAGTTGAAGAGGAAGAAATTGGAGGATATCCCTAATATAAAAAAAAACAATTAATATGGATATTTTATAGCCAGATGAGAGGACTGAATTTGCGGCAAGGGTTGGAAGAGTAAGTGACTCATGCGATTAAAAGTATACTAAGAAAAATGATGGACCCGGATGTGTTCCTGGACTTAGTACTTAGGTCTGTGGGCAAGGAGGTGGTTCTGATTCTGACAAAACTATTTAATTTTGTTGATGTTTAATACTTGTGGAGGTTCAGTTTGTGGCCCACCTGGCACACACTACAGGATACTAAAGTAAGACACCACTCCCCAGAAAGAGATAAAAGATGCCAGTGCCGGTCTATAATAGCTTTACTTTTATCTTCAGCAGAGGAGAGTTGCTAGGTAAAAATGCTAAGCAAAAGGCATGAGAACAGACTCAGAGCTCCCTTTTCTGAGGTGATGGTTCAGTAAGGTTCTTGTTTGCGGAAAATAATTTCATTTCGAGACGAATACCAGGATTCTTTTGTAATATGGACCTTGCTTCATATATTTCACAGAAACCAAATATCATGTGTCTGTACCTCGTATATCTAGTCAAGTTTGTGCACTTCAGCAGTGGTAATTTGAACATATAAAGCATGTTATTTGGAAGTTAGTATCTGTTTCACA